TCGTATGGTTGGCCTCTTCAGCGACAGGTCTGTCAGCTGTTGGACCCGTTCTCCCAGTGTTTGCTGCGGTTAAGAACATTACCACCGATTAGATACTCATTTTATGGTATATATTATGGGATCAAATCAATAGTGATCGCAATTAGTGGTCGCATTCAGAGGTTGCGTGTCTTATAAATCATCGCCGGTATTGATAGTCATGTCATCGATTGGTGACACGACTGGACACAAAACTGACCACCAATTGCTTGCCTTAAGACACTGGCCATCGATGGTAAGCCGTGCGAGCAGTTAGTGTGCATACAGTGCGAGCGATGATCACCACAAGTGGTAACAGTAAACACATGACCACAACCTCCTGAGTCGCGCATACAATACCTCTTTCTTTTTAGCCACCGCTTCGGCCCAATCCATGGCCAACACGACTATCACCGCAACGGTGACTAACGCCGAGACAATAGTCACGTGTTTTGCACTCATTTCGTGAATGTGTTTGTAATCGCAATTCAAATGAGCATTAATTGTAAACACAATTCAAAGCAATTGCAGTACACGTCGACTCCCTATGCACTGCCGGCTCATCGCAAATAACGTTACGATTTTCACATCATTTACTGAACCCTGTGTTATCACGTATTGTATAGTTGTGTGCGTTGATAGTTCAATATGATAACCACTCCCGTTATTAGAGTACAGTATTAATTAATACCCAGCACAATTTCATTCAAAAAGCAATTAGTTTTAAAAACTTTTATTAAATGCAATTAAAATAAATATATAAATGAATTCAAAGCATATTTGCGGATATATATCATTAAATATCATATATTTTACATCAGATTATATCAAAATATTTCTATTCATAAATCATATAATAAACCAATAATTAGAAATACATTCAAATCATATAATTTAAAATCCAATCAATTATTATATCGGATATTCAAAGCAAATAAAATCCATTTCCCAATCAAATTATAATTATAAAAACGATTCATTGATCGACTCATTGGCGGTGCGATAGCGGGCGGGCGGGTCGTCCCACACGGCACTGGAGGTGCGCTTCTGGTACTTGGGGTGCAAAGGCTTCTTAGGGAACATGAGATCGAAGTCGGTCTTAAAGGCCTCCAACAGGACATCCCCGGAGCCGAACACCTCCTTCACGTCGCGGTACACCTGCTTATAGGGCTTACTATACTGGCGGTGCACTTGTTTGATGAACGCCTGACCCCTCGCCCACCCGGGGATGCGTTTGCGTGGCTGTGACTCATCGTCCGTGTCGTCA